TGTGATACTTTCAGGAGTATGATTATTTTATGTTATGATTTCTTTTGTTTCAATGGTTGGGATAATGATGGACTAAAATGATCGAATAAAATTATTTTGTGAAGTAACGCAGAAGAAATTTAAGCGTATCTGGAATAATTGAAGGATACAAAATTGTTTTGCGACAATTTCTGACTACAAAATATACCGTGCAAGGACAATGAAGGCAAAAAGGTAATACACATTTGTTAAGGAGGTTTTGAAAAAGTTCTAAATCGAAATTTCTCACAGTTACGTCAGGAACTTAACGCGAGAAAGCAAAAACTTGTTAAGTGATCAATTAACTTGTTATCGTGCTGACCCTTGAACCTGACGACGTCGATTCCGTGTTTACCGAAACGGATTGACCCTGATTGTAATTAAATTTCACTGGCTCGGCACCATCGACATTTCTAGAAATTCCTTAGAATTCGCTTTTCCTTCTTCCTCTTTCATTCTCGTTTTCTCGGCCTCTAGTTCGCTTCGTTTTAAAGCGACGCTAACTTTATTACGAATACAAAGTTTCATTAAATCGAAATTATAATTCATAACACGAGTAGCTATGATTCGATATTATGAGACAAAAACTTGTCTGTCTGCTAATTATCGAGAAAGGCTCGTGTTTACGTACCATCTATCAAACCTCGTACCCAGGCTTCGTTTCCGGTGTCACTAAATCCGTGAATAATGAATTTCGTTGGTCGACTTTCATTGAAGTGAGATGCGTAAAGAACCTCGGTGTTGTTTAGAAACAGCTGCTCCTCGCCAAACGGATTTTCTCTTTGCAAAAGGAAAGTTCTTTTATTATTTTAGCATTAAATTATTTTAAAATTACATTCTACAAATTATTATTCTATTTATTATTATTATTCTACAAATTATCCTACAAAAATTGAAACCGCTAATAATGCCAAATATTTCTGACTTAATGTTCTTTTATCAATAATTTCTCCTAACCTTTTAATATTACATAAATCCACTGATGTTATACGTTTTTCGAAATTCTTTTACATCTTTTTCCGATATTCTTCCCCGTCTGTAACGAAATGTTTGTGATTCTTGTCGTACCATAGCATACATAAAATAATTTATTCTATTAATAAGCAAAAAAGCATCTGTGTTTCCTAAAAAAGTTATTATAATTTCGCACGAAATTTAATCATAGTCTATCTCAGATTCATAGTGACAAAATACCTTTTTTACGTTGATTTACGATTTTTGTTTCAGTAAAACACTTTGTTTGCCATGGAGTTAATGATTCGAGTGGTCTTTATGAAACCATCTCCGACAATCGGAACGAGGAATTCTCGAGGCGCCGCCATCGCAAGTGGCGCCTCAATTTTCCTTCCCGGTTTTAGATCGAGTCGATCAACAAGAAAAGGCAAAGCAGTGCAAAAAGAATAAGAAAAGGAGGCGCGTCCACGATATTCACGCATCGATGATAGTCAGTGGAGCGTCAGCGCTGAGAATAGAATTTGCCGGCTTGCTGATTGCATGTATCGTTAAAAAATTGATGCATCGTTTACGAACGACGAACGATAAAGCTCGCCTCTGCACGGACGAAAAATTCGCAGCACGAACCGCGCGTTGCCAAGGAGAAGCGCGGATTTTCTTTAACGTATCACGTTCGCCCTTGCTTCGTCTCTTCTCTTTCCGAAAATATCTTAAAATTAAATCTTGAACTATGGGGAGCGTATACGTCCTTAAATATCGAACAATCATATATTAAAAACGTACAAATATTTATAATGTACAATCATTTTTATTTCCACTTATATGTGTTAAACCACAATTAATTATTTTAAGTACCTGCAAAAGCTGTCTTCATACTATATGTCGAAAAACTTTCAATTCTGAGGAAACTATAGTGAAAAAGTTAATATGTATTATGTTTAACGAAAGAATGAAAAAATATCAAAAAAGAAAAAATCGCTGTAATAGGTTTGTTCGAAACAGTGGAGAGATATTATATAAGAACTAACAAAATAAATAAAATAGGAGAAATAAAGCATATTGACATTGTATATGACATAACAAGCATTAAAGAATATTAACACTGAACAAACTTCTTTCCTTTCGACGGCTAGGAGTTATACCCTCGTGGATAACTATGTCCGCTGAGCTAACTTCAGTCATAACATTTGAACTTCCTTTAAATCGTCAAACAAAAACACTATATGTTCTATATACCTGGTGTACAGATTGAACATAGCGGGATCACGGGTGGTCTTGAACATGGACTTGATGACCGATTGCACATCGTTGAACAGTGTGTTTTGTGAATGCGCGAACGCTAGAACCACGAGGAAACAAAATTTGTTGAAAACGAAATATAAAAGTACATTATCCAAAGAGTCGCAGACTCATCTTAACCTTAAAAAAGACTATAAACTAAAGTCGATTATTATAAAGTTTGAATAAAATTCGGTAAGGTCACAATGAAGATAAATTCCAAATAGATTGAAATGTAGATACAATGAGAAGAACATTCGGTTCACTTTAGTAGACGTTAACGAAAAGATCCACGTGACTTCGTTTACCTGACAGAACGACCACTAAAAGGACGAGAATTTTGACGGATGACATGTCTCTCCGCGCGATACCGCTCGCCGTTGCACTGGATTACTACTGTAGCCGGCTTAGCAGTGGGCTACCATTCATCCTACTCCCGATTTCTCGTCTTTGATGTTCGATAAGCCCGGCAGCTATATTCATTTGTTTAATTAATACGACAGTTGCTCGAACGTGGATAGTTTCGAAAGTTGCTCACCCCTACCTCTTATAAGTAACCTTCCAAACTCTTCTCAATTTCGTAATTCCTACTACGACTTCGTTATTCGAGAAACGCTTTTTGCACTCTTTCGTGGGGAAAACGTGCCGATTATCGCTTAGATACATGTGTGTGTATTTGATTATACGTGAAATATTGGTTAGACTGTATATGTCGTGTTTCATCGTTTGAAACTGATATGAAAGTAGAAGACTACAAGGAAAAGTGTTTACTTTTTTGCTCTATGCAGAAACTTGACATGATTAAGTTCCATAATTATAATGTCTTGAAATTTTTGAAATGTCTTCACTTATACATATATACTACATGCACATACATTATGTGATAAATCATTACAAATTATTTAGTTTTAATGAAATCTTTGTTAGCTGTAAACCGGCTTGACCCAATTACAAGAAAGATTCCTATATTATTATTGTATCAGTATGATTGTTATTTGCACGAGTAACTAATGGAATTAAATTGAAGATATATCACTTATTGTAATTATTTATTATACTTGTTCATAGTATAATAAATAAAAAATGTATACAAAGTAACTAATGGAATTAAATTGAGGATATATCAATTATTGTAATTATTTATTATACTTGTTCATAGTATAATAAATGATAAATAAAAAATAAAAAATTTGCCAATAAAAAGTAAACATCTTCCATTTTTTCACTTATACAATTTTATATTTAATATAGATCACAAATCACGATTACATACTTTTTCTGAATAAAATATACATAAAAAACTAATTATGTATATTAGTAATGAATATTGAATTATATCATTTCATTGCAATAATCGAATAACATAATTCTATTTGTTAATTGGCAAGCAGCTATGTTAATGACGTCAAGCATAAAGATCAATACAGGTTACACGTATATTGTAATTAAACTACGGATGTTTACGCATATTTACGTATATTTTTATGAATACAGTTAAATATATGTAACCTAAATATCCTAATAAATAAATAAATAAATATATATATATATTTAATATTTTGCTGTACATTTATGCATATTTCAGTTTCTCACAAATGCATGAACGTCAGCAGTCTGATTATGAATACATTCATTAATGAATGAACAAATGTTTTGGTTTATTTTCATGATGATTTCAACGCAGTTTCTATACTGTTATGTTTACTTTGTTTATTTCCTTCAAACTATTCATTTCGTAATTTGAATGTCTGTCTCCACTAAAAAGTGTGATAATATTTTCGCAATAACATCTCTTATGTCTTAATGTTTAACATTTGGCAACGTGATATAGAAAGAACACATTCATTAAATGTGTAAACTTAAAGGAAGATGTCCCACGAACGTCGTTAAATTTAGAAAGTTTAATTATGATAGCGCGACTATCCCTGCTTTACTATCGTAAATGGTTATATCGTTCCTTTCCTCTATGTAACAGTCGAACGATCTTGCATGACAATTATTACATTTCTCCTTTATCAGTGCTTTTTTTTATCTCTATTATACCGACTATTGAAAAGTTCGATTACAATGCAGCGCCGATGATAATACTAGTTTCTTAACAATAAGAATATTTACTACATATAAAATTTTAATATTTAACATTTCTAAATTTATCCTATACGGTTTTTTAATAATGATGTATCCTTGAAGAGTATCAAGGATAAAATTTTACTCCATAAGAATTTTGTTGTAATAGTAGCGTATTAATATCATTTCAATGTTATCTATAATTGCGAACAATATCTAATATTGGATAATAATAAGAAATTGAGTTGCATTTGTGTGATTTTATTGAGTACTAAAGTAAAAGGTTATATTGGGGTGAAATTTCGCTTATCATGGCATTGGCGTTATTTGATGATAACTTTTAAGTGTTAAATGTATGTTAATGTCTCATCATATACAATTATTTGAATACACGGGAGGACAAAAAATGTAAAAACACATATAAACGATATATAAACGATAGTCACTAATAATAGATTATCTATTTCTTTTGGCATAAAACAAAAAGAAATATTTTTAATTTTTCATATCCTGTTTCAAAATAATTCGTTAGAAAAAGAAAGATCTTTTAAAGTGTTAGTAAAGATTAAATATTATTAATTTCTATATAGAATTATTATTTCTATATCAATTAAAATATCCCAAAATTATATTACATATTTCAATTAAATGCCAGGACATGTTCAAGCACGTGCAAATTGACGAATACAGCGACACGATGATACGAGGACACGACACAAGGTTTTCATTTACGTTTCATTTTGAAGCACATTAAACGAAGTATACTCATGAATGATACAAGATAGTATTATGTAAATTATTATGTAAAATATTTTTAAATAAGTAATTTATTTTTGAAAAAAATAAAAGTATTATTATATTTAGTAAATATGACAGAAAAATTGCGAAGATATGAGAAAATTGATTTCTTAGGAGAAGGACAGGTTAGTTGAAGATTATAAACTTCGTTATTAATGTTGTAAATATATTTATGAATTTTATTTCAGTTCGCTACTGTCTATAAAGCCAAAGATATCGAAACGTCCAAAATTGTTGCTGTGAAAAAGGTTTGTTATTTCACAATGATTTTATACACTGATCAAGTGTTAGTTCTTGAAGTGTCAATAATGTCATTTATGACAATTTCAGATTAAAGTTGGAAGTCGCGCAGAGGCTAGGGATGGTATAAATAGAACTGCATTACGAGAAATTAAATTATTGCAAGAATTAAAACACGATAATGTGATAGGTTTATTAGGTATATAAACGTATACATACGTTACAAGAATTTATATTGTAGTCAACATTCATATCATGTTATTGATATTTTAGATGTTTTTGGTCACAAGTCAAATGTCTCCTTAGTATTTGACTTTATGGATACAGATTTAGAGATAATAATAAAGGATAGTAATATAGTATTAACAGCTGCAAACATTAAAGCATATATGATCCAAACTTTACAAGGATTAGATTATTTACATTATAATTGGATACTGCACAGAGATTTGAAACCAAATAATTTACTGGTTAACTCTGAAGGTGTTTTGAAAATTGGTGATTTTGGTTTGGCCAAATTTTTTGGTTCACCTAACCGAATAAATACCCATCAGGTAGTAACAAGGTGGTATAGGTCACCTGAATTGTTGTATGGTGCAAGATTATATGGTACTGGAATTGATATGTGGGCAGTTGGTTGTATATTAGCAGAATTGTTATTACGTGTACCATTTTTACCTGGCGAATCTGACCTGGATCAACTTACTAGAATATTTCAGGTATATCCTTTTTATTGTAACCTGAAAAAGTTCTTAATTGCAATTATTTTCATATATTTACATACATAATTTTCAGACATTAGGCACACCCACTGAAGAAACGTGGCCAGGAATGACAGAATTACCAGATTTTATCCAATTCAAACCTTTTCCTGGTACACCACTAAAACATATATTTACTGCTGCTGGTGATGATCTCCTAGATTTAATTGCTAGTCTATTAAATGTAAATCCCTTGGAGAGATGTACATGTGATCAAGCTCTTCAAATGCCATACTTCAGCAACAAGCCTGCGCCAACTCCTGGACCTAGATTACCGCTTCCTACATCTGTAAAACGTCAGCCAGAGGAAAAGCCTAGTTTAAAGAGAAAACTACTGGAATCGATGGATGGTGCTTCCCTTGCAAAAAGATTACAGTTTTAACCATAAATTCAGTTAGATTTAATTGTAAATTGTTACGAGAACAAATTCATTGTTATTGTTTCCTTACTAATTTTACAATGAATAATCAATATAATATGCAATAAAATGAAGCAAGGAGATATAGACTGATTTGTATAAATGCATAATATACAAGTAAATTTAAAACATGAGATATAATATTAAACATCTACAATGAATTACTGCAGTAATATATGATATGCAATTTAATAATATATTTTTACAAAATTATTATGTAAATAACTAAAATCAAATAAACATCCATTTTATACGTTATTAACATTATATATCCTCGAAATACATGTGGCCTATATGTATACAAAATTAAAACAGGATGGGAATGTTATAGGCTGAAATAATAATACATATTTGAAAAATACAACATTATGCTGCATTACTTTTTATTAACTTAAAAACTAGTAAGAAATGTTTGATACGTGAACAATTTTGTAACTTGTGAAATATTAAATTTCGATAGCATAAAGAGGTGAATCGTTGATAACAAATTATTAAAACTGTAATCGCATTTCGCAGCTTTCCCTGTAGCGAGATTAATTATTCATCTTTCGCAATAAGTACAAACATTACCAGATTCTCATTTACTCGCTCTTGTCTCTATTTGACGATGTTCCACTATTTCCTTTCTCAAGAAAAGTATAAAGTATAAATAATGTTCCTTTAATATATCCGCTTTGTGGACAAAAAGGACACATTTATCATTTTTGCTAAATCTGATGATTTTGCATTGTCCATCTGTGATGAGCATGCAAGTAGTTTTTTACGAGTACCGCTCACGACTGATTGCATCTTCTCAATCAGCTTCTAATATCCGTGCATGATTTCAATATACATGTATCTATTACACACATACATAAATCTATTCAATACTGATGGGTAACAAAAAACGTAATATTTTGTAATGATACAAATTGTACATATCTTATATTAATGCACATATTAACATGAGTTGGCTACCTCTGAAATTGATGAAAAAGTGTTTCACATTAAAATCATGTTACAAGAATAAAATAAATTTCATATTTTAATATATTACATAAAGCTATAACAAAATTTCTTGTATTGTACACATAATTACATTAAAAGCATAAATTAAGACGACGTGTGCATTTAAATACTGAAGCAACATTTAATATTTGTTTTACATATTTTGTTAGATTCTGATATAGAGGTGAAAAGCTGGGAATTCTATATAAATAAAACGTGATTATTTTAAGATGTGTTAGAGGATTACCACCTGTTAGCATACATCTGCGATATATTATACATAAATGATAAAATTAAACCCGGATTTTACAATTAAGTTTAAACGTATTCGATTTTCTCGGAAACATCAAGAAGATTTACAAGTGTTTCAAATTAAATATTGATGTCTTCAAAGGTAAGTAATCTTTTAAAACATCTTAGAATATGCAAATAATAAATTCATTCTAACATATGGTACTGTGGTCCCTCTTATTCAGACTGAACTATAAGTAATAACTATGTAACACCTTCTGTAATGCATAATAAGCATAATTTTTTTTTTTAGGAGTATATACCATTATTTGCCAAACTCCAGGTAGTGAAAAAGCATGGAAATTGTTATCATTGTCATTTTCAATTTAGATCATAACATAAAAACGCAAGGATATTTTTGAAAGTAAATAAAAGAAGAAATAGTATTAATACAATTTCATGGAAAAGAAACAAAACTTCTACAGAGATAGTTTTTAGATCTTAGATATTACTCATTTTTTACAACACAAATTTCTCCTCTTATGCGAGTTATTTACACATAAAAAATAATACACTTAACAATGAGATTTTGCTGTACATGATGTATATACTTAAAGCAATGTTTAAATTTACAAAATTGATATTATACAGAGTATAGTATAAAAACAGAAAACACTGTTTAACACGATTTACAAAAAGTAAATCGTCCTTGTATTAATACATTTGTCGAAAATACAAAATTAAAACTATCCCTTATTATTTGTGACGAACCATTAACATGTAACTGAATATATGTTTGAGCGCAACAACTCTAGAGATTGCAGAAAAATTAATTTCAATTGATTGATCAATATTTTGTTCGATAAGTTAATTCATTTAAAGTCACCACCGCTTTCAATGTCGTATAATAATGTGATAGACACATACATACTAATTTTCTATCCTGCGTGCATTTTGTAAGGAACATTGTATTCGATATCATTAGTTTTTTTTCATATGCCCTCCTGCATGGCCCTACATATGTAACGTGCGTGTATAACTTTCTTCATTTCAGTAGGGCTTAAATTTTATATAGGATGCATTGTTTCATACATAAAAGTAGAATATATTAGAAATAGTACATAGGACATAGTATCAAAACATCAAATGAAATAATAAAATTCCTTCGACTATTAAACAAATAGAAATAATATATGTATATAATTAATTTAAACTAATAAACATCCAAAGGGAATAAAGATATTATTGATTATATGTAATATTTTCATATCTCTTTAATTACTGTTGTTAAATATATTATTGTCTTGTGTTAGCATCCCACGAACACGTACTTGAAAAACTGTAGTAAAAGATTATTTATCGGACATGAAATGTAATGAAGATTAAGCAATTGTACATGATATAAGTACAATTGCTTTCTTCTTTAAATTATACTATGTCCTAAGCAAATAGTTTTAAGCAGTAATCGATGCGCAGTCTATAGAGCACATGCAGCAGACAATTTGCTCTTGCACTTTGTTTCTAGACATTTGATTCAGTATTTAAAGTAACATATATAACAACTTATGCAACCAACAACATGTTATGACTACTTTATAATGCTTATTTTCCTTAATTTCTTACTTTTATACATTAAGTCAATGTATACCAAGATTTTTAAATAATATTAAAATATATATATAAATATATATATAAATATATATATAAATATATATATATATATAAATAAATTTTCCAATAAGTTAAATTAAAAGTAGACGAAAGTAATGTATACATTTTATAGCAGCAGCATTTAAACGTATGTAGAACATAGCATATAAAATTTTCTTAATATAAAAATAATATATTTTTTTAAATCACAATGTAATTTTATATTATTTAAAAATCGCAGTATTCACAGATTTTAGGACAAGGATGTTCTTTGCAAATGAAAATGAAATTATACCCTTTTAGGGATTTTAAAATAAGTAATACATACATTACGATATAACTGTCCGTAATAATAATATCACATCTCCAAATACTACTTAGCACAAAGTATTACAAAATAAATGTACATACATATAAATGAGTTTAGACAAGAAATATAGGCGGTGCATTTTCTAGGTAACTATGATCTTTCCTTGGGTATAAAGAAGAACATGTTTATAATTTCCCTAACACAAACAGTTTACTGCGTTATTCAATAAGGTCATTTTGTTTTCAATATTGAAGATAATTTCACAATTTTGCTTTATAAATATTTGTAAAATTATTTTTCAGTCCATTCGTATTATTGAAAGTCTGACATTAATTATAAAAAAACGTAATCAATACCTCACATCATGATTGATACTTGTCGCTTTAAAAACACATAACTTTCAATTTCAAAGTAAACGGAAATATCGTTATAGTGAAGAATACTTGATACATTTAAAGTTACGTATTGAGTTCTTGACATTAAGATATATCAATTCATTGAAACTTTTTACTTTCCCGTTTTATGACATTCCTGCGTTACATATATATGTTATGTTTACTTCTAAAAGCAGAAGATAGAAACGCAACAGTCTCTTGAATTAAACGTTTTCTTTCCCTCAATTAATAACTTTGGATCGGTACGTAATACAATACAAGTGGAATTTATACAAAGACAGTAATTAAATAATAACATATAATTCATAAAGAGAAGAATCTAGTTACACATATAACATACGCCGTCTTACATAAACGTAAATGAACAAAATACCATTGCAATGTGAAACACTCTGTGTAGCTTCTTGATTAGGCACAATGTTTGAAAGCAATAAATTCCTATTTATCTGTTTAAATAAAAAAATTCTTTGTGGAACACACTTTCCCAATACAGACTATATCTCCCTAGAATTCATATTAATATTAAAAGTAGAAATACATATTTCATTGCTACTACTGTTTTTTACTTTATTATATCATATATATATATTCAGTAGTCAGTCCAAGGCAAACATTATCCGCGATAGTATAATATAATATAGCTACTATTTTCATATTTTTTTTAAATTGATCTACCTATATATTACTTTCTTTTAAAAAATGTATACTTAACATTTAATATAATATATATATATAATATATATAATATATATCTATAATATATATATAAATAATATATATACTATATATATATAAATATATATATCTCTTTTTAAAATATTTACAGTCACTGTTATGATATAGTAATTTTAATTGTTTCTTGTGTATTCATATTTTATAAAGGCAATTATTATCATAACTATAATCCTTAACATATTACATGTATTGTGTAAACATGTTTTATGTTCATACTAGGACAGTATATAATACAAGTAGGGATATTACATGACTTTGACACCTTTACACGTATGTACACAGGGAGTGTCATGATCATACAAATCATAATTTATCTTATTATTGCGTTGTATTTTGATGTTAATTTTTAAATAAAAAATATTTTGTTTATGTTTAGAAGAACATCTCCATTTTTACAAGAATTCTATATTCTTGTGATTACGTTAGATTTTGAAGTATATCTTTAAAAATATTTCAAATATAAACGTGCTGGATGATGTTGATTTGTCATTATCATGACTTTGTTAAATCAACATTTCTATTCACAGTAACAAATTAGCAAATAATAGTAAATTGGTTAATTTCAATGAATGGCTAAACAATTAATATATACAGCAAGTAGATAATAGCAGTTCCTATCATACAATGGCTTTCAAGAAATTTGACTCCTTTTTCTTTTTTCACATAATAAGCAAAAAATGTATAATCATAAATCAGCCTGTGCATTTCTCTTTATGTGTACTATTTGAGAATTTTCCAGAAGTCATTGTCAATGGCTCGAAGAATT